AAACATTCGTTTTGTTATTATATCAGTATCAATAAATATTAAAAACCAGTGCGCAGTCCTCAAAGGCCTTATTCTTCATGCTTTGAACAATCAGCGATATTTCTACTTAGTGACCTGGAATCGGCAGGGGGGGGGGGGGGGGGGGGGGTCAGACATTTGAAAAAATTGAATAAAAAGAGGTAATTTTATAAAACTTGTAACTGCATTATATTTTTTTTAAATAAATGTATTCATCCATAAATAATCTTATTGGCCAAATTACAGTAATAATTATTCTAAATATTCACATTTACACATAGTTTTCCTTCCGATTCTTTTCAAGTAAGTACACTTCATTTTCTCTCTACATGGATGAGCGCTATCTCCATTGTGACGTCATAATGTCACAATTGACGTCAAAACTAGATCTACTGTTTTGATTCAAAAATAATCATTGATTGAAATAACTTTCCGTCGCTTTATGATATATGCTGGAGTGAAACATCTATATTCATGTCCATGTGATTAAAAATAAAACATTTTTCAAATGTATTCCCATAAGCATGATGAGTTCACATGTTTCTTTTATTTATTTATGTACATATTTTCCCAGGTATTCTTTCAGAAGAGGTGTGTTGTGTTTCAATACGGCGCATAAAACATTTTACAACAATCGTTTACAATATATGTGCGACGATCATTGAATGTTTACACGGTCAATGTCACTGCTGAAAATGCTAAAGATCTTATAGGAGAAAACAAAATTCTCTGCGATATTTTTTTAAAGATATGTCTTCTACAAATAAGTGGTCTTCGCCGTAACATGCTTATCAAAATCGCCTTCGTTCATCAATATTTATACATCTAGTAAATCACGCCGTCTGATTCTCTTATTGGAAATTATCTATACACAGATGTAGATCCTATGATACACAATAATCTTAAATAAAATTCTAATTTTAAAATGAGGATATAAACCCCAAGAAATAAATTAAATTTATTTTTAATGAAATAGATTTCAATGTTCATAGATATGCAATAGATAGACGTGTCAAATCGTAAAACATGCACGTAGATAAAAAATATGATCAACGCTCGCCAACACTTTCAGTGCATCGTAACAATCTTTAATATCTTATACTTTCTCTACTTTAGAAAAATAAACCCCATTTGTCATGAGCGCAAACATATGACGCTCCTTATTCCGGAAATAGTTACAGCAAACATTCTTTTTTTATTCACCAAATGACGTGATCACGTGACGCCGTGCAATCGCGTCCTTAACTGGCAAAATTGGAAATATATGCAACTTACGTCATTTTATCTATTACAATCAAAACATTCAGTGATAGACAATGAAATGGGCGGGTACAATTCGACGCGGACGTGGGGAAAACATCGGATTGAAGTTGCAAGATCGAAATTCATTTTCAATCCGCCTGAGCTGTTTTCAAAGAAAAGAGTGGATGTATGATCCCAACAAGAGGCCCACGGGCCTTATAGGTCACCTGAGTATCATGTAACAACTTTCCAGCGATTGTATTTGGTTCGTGTTTTAAGCCAAAAGCCATGAAATTCACGAATTTTGAAAGAGGCACCATTGCTTATCAAAGGGCAGATTTCAAAGCATTAATTTATTTTCAGTCAAAGTACCCCCTTGGTACCCCTGACCCAGCAGCCCTGAAATTATCTATTTTGAAAGAGGACCCTTTCTTCATTATAAGGCCAGCATTTTTTTTTTATGTTTAAGTTTAGTTATGAACATGAGAATAAAAAAGTCCCGAAGGAAAAGGAAATAAATTTTTTTGATAAATCAATTATTAACATTTGTACATTCTTTCTTTTATGCTATCCTAATAGGCTCCTTACCACTGGACACATAATGCTTACAAATAGGAAAGTAGAACATTTAATTGCTTATTTCATCATCTGCCAGTTTGGGCCAGTTATATAAATTTTGTGATGTTGATCAAAATATATTTTAAAAAATCAATTCTTTAAAAGTCTTTCAATACATCTTCATTTTCTTAATATGTGTTAAGTGAATGTGTAGACGTTGTTCTAAAATTTACTTGATGCCTAAAATTATAATTCCTATCATAAAACAGACAGGAAGTATTGGGGAGTAGGGTCAACATTTTTTCAATTAAGTGTAAAATAATTTTTCTGGCAGATACAAATGATACTACATATATTTGTATATTCTTGCCTTTTAATAGTTGAATTTTTTTTATTTCTTCACTTCAGGTTATTGTTTATTTCTTCCTCAAATGGACTTCACTTCTCCCATAGTTTTATTCATTACATCTGATGCATAAGCAACCATTTTCTGAAGAATGATGCTTAGACTGTAAGCTATAACAGAGACCTAAACAATGTCCCTGGCAATATGCAATAGCTACCACGGGCAGTTTAAAACCTGGGGGAGGAAAATAATTTACAGTTACTTTTGAAACGAATACATAATTATCTCACCAGCATGTCATTGTGCAACAAAGTCGTCAGCATTTTATTTGTCCTTTGAACGGGTGAAACGTTTTGAATGGCACTCTTATCGATGAATTTTACACTAAACCATGCTAAATTCTTGGATCTAGCTTTATTTACCTGCCGTTTCATCTAAAAACCGGAAGTGCGAGTTCGTAAATTTGAAATCTCGATCCCGATTCAAATTTGACATCGGAAAGAAAAAAATTGTTTTATTTTTTTCTAAAAGTTCAAAACCTTGAGCGGAGGGTTTGTAAAACTGAAAATAAAATAAATCCTGGCCTTAGATATGTAATTAGATCATTAGCATATTAACCAAGAGCAAAGGATAAGATGTTCAAAGAATTCATACATTTCACTATATAATCATTAATTAGAGCCTCGCCCTAAAACAAGAACCCCTGACCCTGGGGCCATAAAATTCACAATTTTGGTAGAGGCACTCTTGCTTATCATAACTATGTACTTAGTTAGTTTATTTAATACCCAGGAGCAGAGAACAAGATTTTCAAAGAATTAATGTATTTTCACTATATAATCAATAGAGCCCCGCCCTAACACCAGAACCCCTGACCCTGGGGCCATAAAATTCACAATTTTGGTAGAGGCACTCTTGCTCATCATAACTATGTACTTAGTTGGTTTATTTAATACCCAGGAGCAGAGAAGAAGATTTTCAAAGAAATAATGCATTTTCACAACCTACTTATTTAGCCCCACCCTAGCACTAGAACCCCTGACCCTGGGGCCATGAATTTCAAAATTTTGGTAGAGGACTCATTGCTGATTACAATCATGCAAACAGTTTGACTGCTTGATGTCCAGGAGTAAAGAAGAAGATTTTTAAAGATTGCACTAATTTTAGTGGTTTTGGCCCCACCCCTCAGGCCCCAGGGGGGCAGGGATCATGAAATTCACAATTTTTGTTCCCCTTCACCCATAGATGCTTTGTACCAAATTTGGTTGAAATTGGTTTAGTGGTTGCAGAGAAGAAGCTGAAAATGTTCAAATGTTAACGCACGACGAACGACGCACGACGAACGACGACGGACGAAAACAGATAGCAATAGGTCACCTGAGTTTACTCAGGTGACCTAAAAATCAACTACAGTGAACATCAAGGTTGTGATTCGGTCAGTCAGTTCAAAAATGCAGAAAAAACGATGGGTTACTTGAAGTTGAAAACGCAGTTGAACACTGATTTGTACAAAGATTTGAAGGATCTGAGAGAATTGAGAGAGGATGGATGAATCAAATTGACATTTAGTTGTCGCCCAATTCGCAACTAGGTTAAGGGCTACCCAAAGGTAGATCAGTGTATGCAGAGCCTCGGGAATTCGATTATGACGTCACGGTGAAATTGTACAAATGAATACTCTTACATACCTCGATTTCTCATGATTATTGTAAATATAATCAATGTGTAACTTATATTCTAACACTATTCGAATGTAAAATCAAAGCCAACTTGATCTCGCTGTACTAACAGATATGACGTCATAGGCTAGTTTGACACGCAGTTTCTCAGTACTTAAGACGCAGATAAAACTAATTAATGGAACTGAAAATATGAAAATTAAATCTAAATAACCGTGATTTGACTAAAATTGATTCATATTTTTGAATGCATTAATCAATAGTTCACAGTCTTACATGTATTTAATTGATAACTATTAGGTCTCTTATAAAGCCACAGTCATGCTCTTTTATACAGAAACGTACTACAATCGCAGATACTACCCTCCAAAATCTCAAAAGTTCAACGATATCCGCTTGATTATAAATTATTATATTTTATACACATGTAGCTACTGTCCCTACTATTCATTTTGAAAAGTGCTGGGAGCAAGTTGTGCGCTGTTGATTTTTTCCGTAATTTTACATTTCTTCAATGCACATAGTCTATCAAAAGTCGGCTAAATTTTATATAATTCCCGGGCATGGAGAAGTTGCTCCCAACACTTTTCGGGTTAAGAAATTTGTCTCAAAGAAAACACAATCTATTTCATAGTGAAAAAAATTATCCAACCGTTGAACTTTCACGATCTTTGTACCCGTACATATTTTTTTTAATTTTAAACATGCCACGTGACAAACAGCTGATGTACGTGAAGTCGCTTTGGCTGAACTCGATTAAGACCCCATACATACATATGCATTACTATAATTCCCATTAAATTAAAACTCAAGATAATAAAAATAATATCAACATTATATTGATTTTTTCGGAATATTTTAAGGCATATTTCCTATGGGCGGCCTTAACCTAGCTGCGTTGTCGTACATGTAGTAGTCAGGAGGTACGTGATCCTCACGGCCCGCATTCAAATCCCACTGTTGGTCGCGGAGACCGGTCCTTCGGATGAGGCTGTATTAATCGAGGTCCCGTGTCGCAGTAGGTTCTGGCATGAAAAAATCCGTCACGACTCAATGGCCCCGAGTTCCGAGCATAATTTTGCAGCTCGGTGGTTACATCTTCAAAGAAAGGTACGATCAACAACATGAACATTGATATTAGAAAAAACAAATTTATCTGATAAAAGTCACTGCTTTAATTTCGATCTGTAATCACAAATAAACGGTAGTAATAGTCCCCCTTCACCAGTAAAATATGAGTAATTTTTCTCGGGTACCCAGCTCCATTCCCCCTCATTATGTGAAAGTAATAATCCAAACGGTTCGTTGATATGCTCCCAGTATTCATCTTCGTTAAATTCCTTAATTTTTGAAGGATTCCAGTTTGATTATCTTACAGTGGTGTTGTCGTGGAATCTAAATTTTCCAGGATAATCTTGATTTAAGTAGCTAACTCGAACATAAAATGCATTATCCAGATCTAGATCGTCCTCTGTAAGTAAATTTTTTAATTATATATTGCCTTTTTTTAAATCAACCTTCTACATTTATTCGTTATTGATAGAACATCTCAGAATATAAAATTGTATACCCGGATGCACGCTTTTGATTCCTAACCGAAATCCGTACCAACTTCCATACCACACAAGTAACTCAGTATTTGGCGTCACAACTTGTGACGTCATGTAAAATACCAAGTCGTCACAGATCACGGAATGGACATTTTCTTCTTTGTAATTTCTAGGACTGTTGATATACCTCAGCCAGTTGCTTTTGGCGGGGGAGGCTGCATCCACAAAATGTGTCACTGCACCTTCGTCACCCGAGTTGAGCTGTTGAAATGATAATAAGATTCACACAGACTAAAACTTGAAATGTACAAATTACCTAATTTCTGTAGGAGTTATTATATACATACATTTATGGATATAAACAATATTATTATTACTCATTTATCTGAACTTTAGAGGTTTTAAGTTATGGAGTTTGCCATTTAACACTCACTGTCAGTCTCAATGTAAAATGGAGATGGCAAACAGTTTTAAGCTTAATACGTATTATTTTCGGAAGTGAACTCTTTAAGATTTCCTCAAAGGTCAACATGTCCAAAAATTAATTCAAATATATGCGAGTTGTAAAGTTAAAACTTGTACAATTACTGTAAATGTACTATATTTAGCGTGTACGATATATGGCGGATTTTAAATTTTGAACTAGTTAGAGAAAATTGATTTAGCGTATCTTGGAAAATTCTTTATTTGTTTATGTACAAGACATTTAGCGTTGTACCTGAATTAGCGGAACTTGTTTTCCGCCAAAAGCGCTAAAAAGAATACACAGCCAAATGTAATACGTTTACAGTATATCATTGATAAACAGATAGAAAGTATCAAATGAAAATATTTCAAAAAAAAAAAAAAATTGAAAAAATGGATAAGGAAATTTGCATATTTTAAATAAAATGCACCTGCTTAATTCTGTACTTCAAGTGAAAAACCATCATTGCAGATACAATGTATGTTTATCAATGAAGGGCAAGTTGGACGTAAATGGTCTTTGAAAGGCTGCTAGAAAAAGCATGACAGATATAAATAAAAGGCCCCTATAAAATCCGCCATTTGCAATGACTTTCGGTTTCAAATCTTGTAATATTAATATGAACAAAATAAACTGGGAAAACAACGCTTTCCAGAGGCTAAGTCCAAATTAATTTTTCTCGATAAATATATTTTTAAAGTATTTGTAATCAAATGATACTTTCTATCTGTTAATCAATGATATAATTTGAACTGTATAAGTTTTAACTTTAATAACCTCATAGTTTTTTAGCTATAGTAGAAATAAATTTTTGGACGTTGACCTTTGATGAAACCTTAACCAGAAGTCTCTGTCGAGACTGTAGCTCTACTGGTTTGTACTGATCAAAAACTGATGCATAGAATTATGTATCTTAGTGTAGTCTACTTGTGTGATAAGTTACATTGAAATCAGACCAAAACTATAGAAGGAGTAGCATTTTAAAGAAATTCCACAGAAAATTCTACTTTAAGTAACCATGGCAACACCGTTCATTGAAATCAAAAACCGATGCACTATTATATGTAAATTAGTGTAGTTTACTTGTGTGCCAAGTGATAATGAAATGAGACCAAAACTGTATAAGGAGTAGCGTTTTAAAGGAATTTCTCAGAAAATTCTATTTTTAGTAACCATTGCAACACTGCTCATCGAAATCAAAAACCGATGCACTATTTTATGTATCTTAGTGTGTGCCAAGTGATATTGAAATGAGACTAAAACTGTAGAAGGAGTAGCATTTTAAAGGAATTTCACAGAAAATTCTATTTTTAGTAACCATGGCAACATCGTTCATCGAAATCAAAAACCGATGCACTATTTTATGTATCTTAGTGTAGTCTACTTGTGTGCCAAGTAATATTGAATTCAGACCAAAACTTTAGAAGGAGTAGCGTTTTAAAGGAATTTCTCAGAAAATTCTATTTTTAGTAACCATTGCAACACTGCTCATCAAAATCAAAAACCAGGGCTCTACATTAACTTTTTTTCCTACTTGTCCATTCGGACAAGTGACAAAGACATTTACTTGTCCGAACCCCAATTTCACTTGTCCGAAAAATTTCAATAAAGATTTTATTCAATTGTCAAAATTACATATAACCTTCATTACTCTATTACTTTAAATAAAGTTGATTATATACTGTATGTTCTTAATTTAATTGTGATCTAATTGATTAATACAACAAAGACATAAAACAAAATTTTATTGAGACTTCCTGTCCTGAAAACAATATAAAAGTGAATGTGTCAACATTGCATTAAAGTGCATGAACATTTATTCGCTGTCACTTTCGCCTGGGCCTCTAAAGTCAAAAGGATTAAATCCTGGTCGTTTAGCTCTCCCTGCATTCCACCACTTGTCTAGCACCCTAGTGCTGTTGAACACTTCCAATGGACACCCTTCTATAGAGATATACATGAGCATTCTCAGCATTGATGGCGTCAGTGAGCTTCTCCAATCCGACTTGACACGCTTCATGCATGAGAATACTCTTTCACAGGCTGCTGATGAAATTGGAAAGACCAAGAGGATCTCAACTAGCATAAGATAATTTTCAAATCTTTGTGCCAAATCTGCTGCTTTGAAGTAATTTTCAATTTGTGTTGTGTTGTGACCATAAACATGGGCTTTGAAGGCCTTAAATTCATCTCCTACTACAGCAACATCACACTCTGCATTTTGTAGAATAGCACCAAAATGCTGCATCAACAGGTTAAGTTCTTCTACACCAAAGAGAGCTAATCCCTCCCTAGTTTTGGGATACTCAGTGAGATCTAAGAGTGTTGCAGCTGCTTTTAAGATGGGATCCTTTTCCATTGGTGCAAACCTTTTATCAATTGCATCAATGAGAACATTGATTATTTCTTCCCTTTTTGCTCTGTAATTTTCTTGGGCGTTGACATTTTGCAGTGTAATGTTGTGATACACATCTCCATTAACCTCTTCAATAAACTTGCTTAGCTCTTCACCATTTGTTTGTTTTAATTCAATGAGAGAGAAATGAAACATAGTGATTGCTTCTAAGAACTGAGAAAGAGTTTTGCTGTCCCTCTGTACTTTGAGACTTAGCACACTCAAGGTTTTGAGTACATCTAGCAAGAAGAAAGACATGTACAAGAATTGGTAGTCCTTCAACTTTTTGCTAATATTGGTTGCCCTCCCTTGGACTTCAGCATTTCCAATTCTTCCACCTCTAATGTGATCATAATGAGTAATAATAACTGTGAAATTCTTCATAAGGACTGCAAGTGCTTTCTGCACATGAGGTAGCCACCTTGTTCCATGTAAATTTGTTGGCTTTAAAACCTTTTCTTCTAAGGCATCTGCAATAACCCTCAATTCTCTTAGAGCCTTTGGTGAGTAATGGTACTGTTTGTAGGTGTTTGTTAAAACATCTTGAATATCCTTCATAATTTTTTGACTTTTAATTGCATTATTGGCAGCCAGCTCTAACCTGTGGGCAGTACAGTGAACAATGACTAGATGGGGGACATCATTTTTCAGTAATGCAGCGACTCCACCCTTTGAGCCAAGATTTACGGAGGCCCCATCTGATCCAAACCCAACAAGATATGTTTTCCAGTTTTCTAATTCTGCCCTCTCAAATGATTGATCAATACAATTCAAAATTCCCTTGGCATCTGCATTTTGGATGTCTTCAATGCTTAGGTAGTGGTTTTCAGGAACCCCATTGTTTACAAACCTTACATATACAGGTTCGTTTTCTGTTACTGATGAATCTGTAGCATCATCAATCAGAATAGAAAAAAAATTCTTCCCTGCCATCTTCTGCACTGATCTTTCATACATTTCTTCATAGATGTACTTTACAAACCTGGTTAGATATGTTAACTATTGTGTTACAAAGCCAATGAGAAAAGCAACTTTAAAGCTAGAATTTGCAATATTCATGATAATAATTTATTTAAAAGGAAAACAAGCAAAGCCACACATAGCACTAAGCAATGTAATGTTACTAGTCTACTACTAGACTACCAATTATTTATAGTTAAGTATTATATATAGATGAAATTATTAATCTGAACATGCATATGAATATGATATATTAAAGAATAGATGAATGATATATATTTAATTTTATTTTCAAGATAAGTTAGTAAGTCTACCTTCTGCAAGCATTGTCTGATCTATAAAATCCCCCAACATCAAGGCCATTTTTTTCTTGCAGTTTAATGAGGGTTGGGTATGATGTAAAGGGCATTTCCTCTATACATACAAAGTAAGCAGTGTTGAAAAGCTTTATGATTTGCTCTTCAAGATTACTGTCCATTTTTCTAACACATTCAACTATTGGGCCTACTAGATTGCTGCCTTGGGATTCTTCATGCTTCAATTTTACTGCCTGTCTTTCAGCACATTTTATATGTGCTTGACTTTTCCAGTGGAAAGTTAACGTGTCTTTCCTGAATGCATTTGTTCCAAGAAACATGGAACATGATTTATCAGCCGTAACTTCGTTGTCTCGGCAAATTTCACAAAACATTTTAGCCTCAGGTTCGCCACCCTCTGCATCCTCAGCTTCATAGACTAAACCTGGAAAGTCGTCTATCCATGATACCTGAAATTTTCGTTTACGTTTTTTTTCATAATCTTTTTTCTTCTCTTTACTTTCTTATGTTTTTACGTCTTTCTTGCCATGTGTAAATCCGAATTTCGTGAGATCCATGTTGCTTTGAAATCGAAAGTAGTTTGCAATTAGTGAACTTCGATCCCGATCAAGTATAACTCAGTATAATTACATCGCGGTTGATATCGGGATCGAAGTTTGTTTTTCGTAAGCTGCTTCCGTCTAAACTATCGATAAACTTTTTGTCTTTCTTTCTTTTTTATTAATTATTTTGAGACTTTTTTAAAATTGATTTTATTGTTATACATAAAAAGCACTTGTCCAATCGGACAAGTGACCAGCAATATTCACTTGTCCGAATTTTTTTTTCACTGGTACCGGACAAGCGGACAAGCGTTAATGTCGAGCCCTGATTAAACCGATGCACTATTTTATGTATCTTAGTGTAGTTTACTTGTGTGCCATGTGATATTGAAATGAGACTAAAACTGTAGAAGGAGTAGTGTTTTAAAGGAATTTCTCAGAAAATTCTATTTTTAGTAACCATGGCAACATCTTTCATCGAAATCAAAAACCGATGCACTATTTTATGTATCTTAGTGTACTCTACTTGTGTGCCAAGTAATATTGAAATCAGACCAAAACTTCAGAAGGAGTAGCGTTTTAAAGGAATTTCTCAGAAAATTCTATTTTTAGTAACCATTGCAACACCGCTCATCGAAATCAAAAACCGATGCACTATTTTATGCATCTTGGTAAAGTCTACTTGTGTGCCAAGTGATATTGAAATGAGACTAAAACTGTAGGAGGAGTAGCGTTTTAAAGGAATTTCTCAGAAAATTCTATTTTTAGTAACCATGGCAACATCGTTCATCGAAATCAAAAACCGATGCACTATTTTATGTATCTTAATGCAGTCTACTTGTGTGCCATGTGATATTGAAATGAGACAAAAACTGTAGAAGGAGTAGCGTTTTAAAGGAATTTCACAGAAAATTCTATTTTTAGTAACCATTGCAACATCGTTCATTGAAATCAAAAACCAATGCGCTAGTTTATGTATCTTAGTGTAGTCTACTTGTGTGCCAAGTAATATTGAAATCAGATCAAAACTGTAGAAGGAGTAGCGTTTTAAAGGAATTTCTCAGAAAATTCTATTTTTAGTAACCATGGCATCACCATTCATTGAAATCAAAAACCGATGCACTATTTTATGTATCTTAGTGTAGTCTACTTGTGTGCCAAGTTATATTGAAATCAGACTAAAATTGTATGAGGAGTAGCGTTTTGAAAAATTGTTTACAGACAGACAGACAGACAGTCGGACGGACGCCGGACGCATTACTATCGCATAAGCTCTTCTGGTCTCTGACCAGTAGAGCTAAAAATAGTTGGGTGTTGCTAAAACGCGGAACGGAAAACGGAACGGAAAGCGGAACGGAACGGAAAACGGAAAATTTTTGTCAAACAAATAACATAGATTCAATATAAATCAGATAAAAAAGCAATATTCTTGTTGTAAAAATCATTTCTGATAAAAATTTATTGTAAACTATTATATATTCATGAGTCATACACAACTTCCGTGGAAAAAATGGTACTGAAAGAAATTCACCCCCCCTCCCCCCCCCCACACACACACGAAATAGGATTTTCGTGTTTGGGCAAAGGACATATCCCCCCTTTTTTTTGGCTTCTCAAATGTGTTGCATGTTGGAAAAGTTTTACTGACCCCCCTTTCTTTCAATTTGTTTCCAATGTCAATGTCTGTAAAGACAAAAATAACTATTTATGATAATCAGATTATGCACACGCAGTGTCGAATTCGCGAATCACGAAAGGGGGAGTGGCAGTTTCGGGTCTATGTAGGGGCCCACAGTCACATTAAAAATTGATTTATTAAACTCTATGTATATTTTTGACACAAAAAGGGGGGCATACCTATTACAACTTTTCAGACCTTTCCAATGAGTGGGAAAACACTCATTTTTTACGGGGTCATTCATATACACCCCCCCCAAACATACACACATATATACCGCAAACAAAATTTAAATTCATTGAATGACATGAAAGTTTTCCAACTTTGTCTTTCCAGAATTTAAATATATAGAAAATGTCTCTATTTTGAATAAAATTTTAACAACCAGTGTGTATAAGAGATGTTTCTTCGAGCTTGCCGTAAAGGTTTGCCCTTAACGTACTATCATAAGAGTTTTTTTTACATTTTATTTCTCTTTCATGGTTCATTTAGATATCAAATATTTGATCCCCCAGTCATAACCTTTTTACTACGTTATGTTCGTTTAAGTTGACATACTCACACTTTTTGTGAATGTAATTAATGTAGTAAGTTAGTGTAAAAAAAAATAGTACTGAAAAATGTTGGAATTGGAACCTATCCCCCCTCCCGAATCAAACAATTGTTTCTTTTTGTGTTATTGCTTGTCAAATACTTTTCAAGTTCGTTTATCCCCCCTTTTCAAATTCGATTCTAGGTGACGGGTGTTGCTAAAACGCGGAACGGAAAACGGAACGGAAAGCGGAACGGAACGGAAAACAGAATATATTATTTTGGATTAAATCACTTAAAATACACAAAATTTATCATAAACGATATATTTTGTACATATCCAATCCCCCACTATTAAATACAAGTTGATTTTATCATGCTCAGTCTCTTTTTTTACGAAAATCGCTTTAGCAACACCCAAATTGTTTGACGCCCTTGGTCGTCTGAGTGGGACAGCATGGCGTTGGGGATAATGCAAAACATGCCAATCACAATCACATTTCAAATGTTAATTGTATTTGCCAGTCCAATTAAAGAATAGAACTACTAGACATATCTTAGAGAGGGAGAGAGAACTCTCAACCATTAATAAAAAATACATTTCCGAGGCATGTGTATTGTATTTAGATGTAGCACACGTTAAATACATACATAGTGATACTAGTGATACTATCAACAATAGATATAAATTGATTTTGTCCTTTCAACTCTTGACGAATATTTCAATTGAATTTTGTTCAGAAATCGCACATTTTCCGACTTTTTCACAAAAAAGCGCAATAGGAAATGGTAAAACTCTTGAGCTTCCAATCATAGTGGCAAAAAATGTTTTCTGTGTCATTACTATTAATTAAATGAATTATTTGGCAATACTTTACCGGTATACAGTCCACTAGAGTTTATTGTACAATACTCTGTTCGAATACATACTATCCATGCATACAGGTGATCCTGATCATTGTCGTCAAAGAACTCTTCCCCTTCGTAGATCCCTATCACTTTATAAATGGGGATCTCGGTTTCTGTCCATGCCCCGAGACCTGCGTTTGGAATACTGGATGTCTTGATGCAGAAGCCGGTAGGTGTTGTTAAGTTGGCACGGTTGTGTTCACTAAACTCCACAGGTAACTGAAAGTATCATAAAATCTAATACTGGCCAGAGAACCAATAGTCTTATCATCAGACAAAATAATCTGATAAGTGAAGTTCTTCAATACAAGAGAAACGTGATCAATAAGGATCAACAAAATAGTGAAGCTGGGTAATCACTAATCAGCAACAAAAGTGTGCTTTATCATGAAGCAAAATAGTTGCGGGCTAGAATCCCACTATGGGATGTGGAGACCGCGGTCCTTTGGATAAGACCGTATCAACCGTGTCGCAGTAGGTGCTGGAACGAAAAAGATCCCTTAATGCTCAATGACCCCGAGTGCAAAAAATATGCAGCTCTCTAAAGGCAAATGGTGATGTCTCTATATGAACGGAAAAAGTCTCAAGAGGACGTTATACAACTACAATATTAAACATAAAGCGCAAAATTAATTTACGTTCCCAACACGATCCCTATATCTTTTTATCTCTTGTTTTTTTTTTTTTTGGCTTATCGTAACCATGTTCTTAGTCTGCCGGATAAATACCCAGGACATAAGAATTTCTAGAGCCCTCATCGTCTCAAGCCACGGTTTGGAGTACACATATAGCTCTCTATCAGAAGAGTTGGAGAGGATCGGACATTTTGGCCGTGATATGCGACGATGTAAAGTCCTATCTTTACATGAATCCATGACCACGAGTCATATATTTCACAATAATGGTGAAGATCTTAAAATAATTATGACATCTGTTTGAATGTTTTATGCAAGGGAGAAGTGGGAAGACAAATTTAAAAAGATTGGTTAACCGTTCTTTTCTATCTCTTAGACTCCAAGGAGGCAGAGATCGTGAAATCCACAATGAATGCTATCTAGCAAAATTGGTTCAAGAGAAATAATTTTAAAAAGAAAAATTTTAAATACTAATTAAAGTAAGACAAACAGTTAACTCCTGATGAACGACAACAGACGAAGAAATGTAATAAAAGCTATGTAATCTCTGGGTGAATTTAATACAAGTAATGTGCTTATCTTTCAAAAATTAAAGTAATGCACCGAATGCTAGGGAAATAGGTAGATGATTAGAATTTCGGACGTTTTCACCTACAGTTGATGTAAAAATGCGAATAGTTTGGGATTAATCGCAATGGGTAGGCAATTAACATAAAGAGATCAATGATAGGAATTAATACAGTTATGTTTACATTTAATTAACATAACAAACACGTTATGGGAACAAAAGGAAGCAAACAGACATGATCGAAACGTCAGATCTGTTACTGTTATTTTTTGTGAGACATGCACAATGTATCAATACCATGAAACGCACTCGATTCGAAACATCGGTAGAAATACATCACTGATAAGCGGACAGGAATCAAAAGAAATTTAAATATATGAGAGAAATAAGAAAAAAATAAAGATAGGAAATAAGCAATAATAATTCTCTCTCTCTCTCTCTCTCTCTAAGAACTGTGTGAATAAGAAAGAGAAGGTAGAAATAAAAGATGAGGGACTTTTTTTTTGCTGTTGTTAAACGTCCTTCTCGATAATGCTTCACTTGTACGGAGACGCAACCATTTGCCGGTGGAGACCTGCAAAATTTTTTTTCTATATTTGGCACTTAGGGCCTCTAGGCAAGAAGTGATTTATTTTTTTCGAGACAGCACCTACTGCGGCGTGGGATCTCGGTTTATACGGTCTCATCCTAAAGACTGGTCGACACGTCCCACAGTAGGATTCGAATCTGCGACGTAAATATCAACTCCTTGCTCCGCGACTCCAGAGCAGACGCTCAAACCATTGCGCCACGCGGGCAACAGAGGGACATTTGAAATACAAGTGGATATTTTCAGAAAGTGGAATCAGTGTTATTGTTTAAAGCGGAGTCGGCAATATCTCAGCCATATTTCTGCGGTTAGAATGAGGAAAGAAATAACTAGATCAAGTTATTCTTAATATAATTTAAACAAATTTCAGGAAATTACTCTTCTTCAAGTTTATGGCTAGAACTTTGTATGAATATGTAGAAAACCCAAATGAAATACCAGTAAGTGAGCCAGGTCGGTTTCTTTTTTTGTACATTTGTATTAACAAAGATTCATCACAAATGTATACGACATAATTATTAGTATTCACGCAGTATTTTTAACCAGAAGTCTCTGTCGAGACTGAAGCTCTACTGGTTTGTACTTATAGCAAAGGAAGAGAAAAGTACTTAAGCAGTTGGGAATTGAAACTTTTCTACAGCAATAAATAGAATAATGATCCTTGATAAGTCTCTTTATGTTCTTAGTGTAGTCTACTTGCATGCCACATTATATTATAATCACACTAAAACTGTATTTGGAGTAGCATTTTGAGAGTATTTAACAGAAATTTCTATTTTTAGCTCTACTGGTCAGAGACCAGAAGAGCTTATGCGATAGTAATGCGTCCGTCGTCCGTCCGTCTGTCTGTCTGTCTGTCCGTCTGTAAACAATATTTCAAAATGCTACTCCTCCTACAGTTTTGGTCTGAATTTAATATAACTTGGCACACAAGTAGACTACACTAAGATACATAATTCTGTGTATCGGTTTTTGATTTCGATGGACAGTGTTGCCGTGGTTACTAAAAATAGAAATTTCTGTGAAATTCTTTCAAAATGCTACTTCTCCTACAGTTTTGGTCTGACTTCAATATAACTTGGCACACAAGTAGACTACACTAAGATACATAATTCTGTATATCGGTTTTTGATTTCGATGAACGGTGTTGCCGTGGTTACTAAAAATAGAAATTTCTGTGAAGATCTTTCAAAATGCTACTCCTCCTACAGTTTTACTTCGTTTTCAATATAACTTGGCACACAAGTAGACTATACTAAGATACTTAATACTTGTGCATTGGTTTTTATTTTGATGAGCGGCAATGATCATTTTTCTATTTATTGCTGTTTTAAAGTTTCAAGTCCCAACTGCTATTTTTCTCTTCCTTTGTTTTATTAAGTATAAACCAGAGACGGGAGTGTCGCTTTTAGAGGGCCAAGGTCTCGACAGAGACTTCTGGTTTTTCTGGGAATTTTGACACTTTTCAAATTAGATTTTTGGCCATACCTTGAATATACAGATGAACATTTTGTCAGCGCGACCCCTCATAAACCGCTGCACAGGATTTCGTCAGACTTTACAGATATTTAGGACACAATGTATAGATGTGCATTTTACCAGGAAATTCCGAATCCTTTATTTTTCTGGGAATTTCGGCATTTTACAACTTAGATTTTTGTGGATATCTTGAATATAGTGATGAACAGTTTGTCAGCGCAACTCCTCATAAACCGCTGCACAGAATTTCATCAACCTTGCAGATATTGAGGAAACAATTTGTAGATGTGCATATTGCCGGGATATTCCGATTCTTTCATTTTTTTCCGGGATTTTCAGCACTTTGAGTTTTGGGGGAGCGTGGGGTATGTGAGCTTGCTCACTTTTTTTTCATTATTATAAGCATTTGCATCAAGTGGGGGAGGGGATGGAATATCGTCAGGATTCAATTGATACTTTTCTGATTGTGTTGTAATATTTCTCAAGATTTTTTTCTTTTAGCTACATAAATTTGATAATATATAACAAAAAATATGTTTTGATATACTCTATTAAATGTTCCCTCCAATTTAAGGTTATAGTAGCGACAGCAGTTTTGCACAATATATGCATCAATCACAGGATACAGTTGCCTGAGTGTGAAGTACTTCCGCCACAGGATAATGATGACCTATGCTACATGTATAATGGCACAGTGCATGGTGGACGAAGAACAAGGGAAAACCTTGCGTTAGGATTTATTTAATCTTATGACGTGAAACCAGTAAACCCAGCAGGTACAATATAATATTTAAGCACTTTCTGTGAGTCACACACCATAAACCCCCTTGAATGCCTCTCTACCTCCACGTCATATCTTCTCTGCTCTAATCTTCTTTCCTCCAATTCCAGCCTCTTTTTCTCTACCTGTAATTTAAAGGTATAAATATAGAACATTTGACAATAGTAAGTTTTATATTGTACTTGCTTTTATAATTGTACTTTTGGAAATCAATCTTTATCAAGAAAATAAAAAAAAATAGAGTACGGATATTTTAAACTTTACCCCTCATCTCTCCCTTTCTATTTCTACTAAGTCGTGAGCCTCCTCATTTCCGGAAGATCTTTTCTTTTTTCTGGTGGTCTTTGATGTGGCTTCTTTAGCACTTTCTTGATGGTCGCTGAATGGAAACAATGCAAATTTAAGACACATAATTTTTGCTTGGGAATAAAAGTATATTGTGTCTTGGTGGAAATGTCTTAGCGTTATCTTATAAATTTAATAATCCATTGATTATTACCTATCAGCAATGAATGTTTCCTGTAGACTGGTATTGGACGAAGATGGGCCAGCTGTGTCTATTCCTCCAGGAATCAATAGGTCCTCAGTACCCCCTTGCTTGTCGTAAAAGGCGATTAAATGGGGCGGTCCTTCGGATGAGACCGTATAAACCGAGGCCCCGTGTCACAGCAGGTGTGGCACGATAAAGATCCCTCCCTGCTCAAAGGCCGTAAGTGCCGAGCATAGGCCTAAATTTGCAGCCCTTCACCGGCAATGGTGACGTCTCCATATCAGTGAAATATTCTGGAGAGGGACGTTAAACAGTATACAATCAATCAATCCTCCAGGAATCTCCTCTGTTGCTGTCTGTTCCATCGTCTCCAATTCCCGTAATTCTGTGGCACTCAGTTCCATTGCCGACGATGACCCTCCTCCAGTTTTTGAAGCCTGCTTCCTCGCATGTGATAACTTCTTCTTGGAGTCGCTGGAAACATATCTCCATTTCTTTTTGACATCATCGGCCGTTCTTGTCACCCCACTTACCGAGCTTACCTTCATTTTTTTAGGTCACCTGAGTAAACTCAGGTGACCTATTGCTATCTGTTTCCGTCGTTCGTCGTGTGTTTGAACATTTGAACATTTTCAGCTTCTTCTCTGCAACCACTCAATCAATTTCCACCGAATTTTACACAAAGCATTTATTGGTAAAGAGGAACAAAAATTGTGAATTTCATGATCGTTGCCCCCCTGCGGCCTGAGGGGTGGGGCCAAAACCACTCAAATTAGTGCAATCTTTAAAAATCTTCTTCTTTACTCCTGGACATCAAGCAGTCAAACTGTTAGCATGAATTGAATGACCAATGAGTCATCTACCAAAATTGTGAAATTCATGGCCCCAGGGTCAGGGGTTCTGGTGTTAGGCGGGGCTCTATTGGTTATATAGAGAAAATGCAGAAATTGTTTGAAAATCTTCTCTGCTGCTGGGTATTAAATAAACTAACGTAGTATATAGTTATGATGAGCATGAATGCCTCTTCCAAAATTGTGAATTTTTATGGCCCCAGGGTCAGGGGTTCTGGTCTTAGGTTGGGGCTCTATTGATTATATAGTGAAAATGCATTATTTCTTTAAAAATCTTTTTCTCTGTTCCTGGGTATTAAATAAACTAACTAAATACATAGTCATGATGAGGAAGAATGCTATTGTGAATTTTATGACCCCAGGGTCAGGGGTTCTGTTGTTAGGGCGGGGCTCTATTGGTTATATAGAGAAAATGCAGAAATTGTTCGAAAATCTTCTCTGCTCCTGGGTATTAAGCAGATGAACTACCTATATAGCTATGATGAGCAAGGGCCATTCTTCCTGAATTGTGAATTTCAACGCCCCTGGGTAAGGGGTACCATAGGGAGGGGGCTCTACTTATATGAAATGAATTAATTGATTGAAATCTTCTTTGTATTAATTAAATATTTTTGATAAGCAAGTTAGGGTGCCTTTTCCAGAATTTTGAAATGTGTGGACCAAGGGTCAGGGGTTCATGTGTGGTAGTGGCACTATACTTATTATTGCTAAATATTACTGATGAGTCAAAATGCATTTTTTGTTCCCGTGCTCTGTCTATGGGTATCAAGTAACCAAACTAAACATGCTAAGTGTATATTTATGATTAGCAATGGTGCCTCTTTCAAAATTGTGAATGCCATGATGTGTAGTTTAAACAGTGTTAAAACATGAACCAAAGTCAATCGTTGTAAAGTTGTTGCATGATGCTCAGGTGACCTATAAGGCCCATTGGCCTCTTTTTAAAGAAAAACATAAAGTAAAAAATTAACTTCCTATATTTATTATAAAAGAATATGTATTTCATATGTATATTTATATGTATTTACTTATCACATGTATTTTGCTATAAAATGTGTGGAAATCTGAGGCATTCAAAAAAGCGTATTATGCATATAATTGAATTTTCACTAATCAGTGCTGAGAAAGGGAGATAGAGAGACAGCCACGTAGCATTGTTTTTAAAAGCGGGGGGGGGGGGCAGAGAATTTTGGCTTTCCTGAAAAAATTTAAGAGGAAAATTGTCCAAAATCGAAAATCCTATTTCGTTGGGGGTGGGTAGAGGCCAACTGTTTTTCAAAGCCAACTTCTTTCATTACCGACTTTTTTTGCATTCCATACTACATTTCCTGATGGGAACTTCCTGTAGTATAAGGGGGGACCAGCCTTTATATTATCTCTATAGAGAGAAGTGGAGAAATCTAGTCCTTGCCCTATGTGCCCACGGGCATAACAAGGACTAGGTAGGTAGGTAGGTAGCCTTTATATGAACATTTCCAATAGTAAAAGTAATGTTGGGAAAAAAGTGGGGGCCTGGCCCCCTGTTGCTACATGCCTGAGAGAGAAAGAAAGACAGAGAAAAATATTTACCTTTGATACCACACTTGCCCATGCCCTTTGTTTTATTGCGTTTGTCGAAGTGTTGTTAAACGAAGAATTAAGGTTCTCCGATCCTCAGGTCACAAAAATTGAAAGTGTAAATTTCAAAACAAATGACATTTAGTTTGTTCATACTATTGACTTGAATAATAAATAAAACTTTTATTTGTATTATTTCCATGTGTTTTTCAAAGATAATGCGTTATCACCCATATAGGTTTATATAAGGAAAAAAAGATGTCTTCAAGGTTTTGGCAATTTATATTCAGTACAGGATGGTTACACTGTATTTTTGCACATAACAACATCTATTAGATATGTTGATATAAAATAAATTACGAAAAACCAGGTGTATCCAGCATAATAACAATGGAAATGAAACACTACATCTTTACATGCACATCAAATGTTAGAGTTATGTTTCTTTCAAGAACTGATCGATTGATTGATTGTGTACTGTTTAACGTCCCTCTACAGAATATTTCACTGATATGGAGACGTCACCATTGCCGGTGAAGGGCTGCAAATTTAGGCCTATGCTCGGCACTTACGGCCTTTGAGCAGGGAGGGATCTTTATCGTGCCACACCTGCTGTGACACGGGGCCTCGGTTTATACGGTCTCATCCGAAGGACCGCCCCATTTAGCCTTTTACGACAAGCAAGGGGGTACTGAGGACCTATTCTAACCCGGATCCCCACGGGGTTCTTTCAAGAACTGAACAACAGATGTAATAATGTTTTTTCGTTTTGTCACTCTGGGTTTCCCATTGAAATTTTCACTGAGAGTACACTGTGTAGACCATCAAACCCTCCTCTGTTGTATGCCAACTGAATATGATGCAGAGACAATCCAGAGAGCGACATTTGATTGACTACTTGCATGATATAATCCATGCCGAAAGAATAGTTCAATTAATATGATTCTGTGTCGTGGTACTCAACAAGTTTCTGCAGATATGCACAATCTTCTAAAGCATCATGTGCATCAAATGTACAGCCTAGTATTTCAATCACAAGGGTCTCCAGAGTTGAATTGGATGGATTACAAGATGTGTGTTCTTTCAACATAGGAAGAGTATCACAGAATCTAATAATGCAGTCTTGTAATGGTATACTGGAACACTTTCTCATAGCTCTGCATAAAACGACACTGTCAAATTTTCTGCAGTTGTGAGCAAATAGCACAGGTTTACGTATCCCTGGTGTATTATTTAGCCACTCACGAAATATGTTAAACACTCCGGTATGGAACATGCTTGCACAGGAACACCATCCTTGTATAAAGTAGAACCATCACAGGTAAGTCCTGTTATCCTTGAGGCTGTCTCCTGTATGGCAATTGATGGTAGCACATACTGACAAAAAGAGAAATCAGCACACCTTGCAGCCATTTGTGTTATTTCACATGATGCATCTGAAAAAAATGAAAAAGTATAAGATATGAGTTTATAAAAAAAATTACACGATATTTTTGTTATATATATTTATAAAGATAAATAACAATTTTACCCACATACCTAAACCAGTTGTCTCTAGATCAAAGTAGACTCTACTGTATTCACCCGGAGGCAGTGGAACTTGGTGGAGCTGTTCTGGAGGGGATGGAATAGTCTCCATTCTCTCGTCAGGAATACTACTGCTTTGGGAAAGAACACCACTCTCATAAGTTATACCCTCCCTGTTTCAGATGATGATATTGCAGATGCCGACTTCTTCCTCACTTCAACTCTTCTTTTTTTGAACTCTTTTGAAGATATTTGTTCAAAATTCTTTTTCCTTTTCTTCATTTTTCTTTCAGCGTCTTTTGCGGTGCATGTTCCAGGAGACAATGATAGCTCTTCATGTATCTGCAATAAAAAAAACACAAATTTTGAATGTTATATTTTTACATGTATTTTCATTCACTGGTGAGAAAGATAATAAATGGTACAACTTTTCTATATGAAGTTACCTGAAGTACATATGGAGCTCCAATATTTTTCTCACAGACTGCTGCTGCAGCTCTCACGCTTGTGCTGTCAGATCCTGAATAAAAATTATTCTTGGGGTTTTTCCTGGATACAATGTGGTTGAAATTTTCATTATGTTGCGTGCTTTCAAGTAAAGAAAGTCTCTCAGACTGATTAGCATATGATGTAAAAAGTTGCTGAAGGTCTTCAAACAGATTCATGTCGGTGAGATATTTTCCAAAGGGAAGATGCTTCGGTGTGTATGTTTCCTTATTTTGTAGATATCTGCACCATTTCACTTGGCATGATGAATGTTTACCACATAGGTGGTTTGGAATGGCTAGTAGGTTTTCTTTCAATGATATGGATTCTTCTCTGTTAGAGGACACAGCATACGCAAAGCACTTTTTTATGTGACTTATAGTTTTGACACTCGGTATCCTCTTATATTTTTCTTTCTGCAAGGCATACAGATTATTTGCAAAGTTTTTGAAAGTATGGTTCTTATCACTACATTTCTGCATGTCAGCATTACCTCCAATCTTACTTTATGAATGGTACTAGTGTCGTCATCCATAACTAAAGTTTTCACTTTGTGCCCCTTGTTTTCAATATCAATACTTTTTAGGATCTTTACAGCCATGGATGGTTCCATTGATTTTGAGCTTCCCTTCCAATTCTTTCTACAATCATGTTCTTTCTTCTCCCGTCCTCGGAGCTCAGCACTTTTACATACTCTGCAATTCTTTGCCATCACATCATAGCCTACCACCTTTCCAGTTTTACATCCAATCATTGATCCATGACCTGATAAATGGTTGATAAGAGGAAATAAACTTATTTATTCATTTATACATAATAATAATAATAATAATAATACTTTATTTAAAGAAGGTAGCCCGATTAGTGCACGCACTATTCTTCCCCGGGGCCTTCTGTAGACAAAATCAATATACATACATATACAAATATACACAATCAAATAAATAATCATAAGTTATTTCGACATTGTTTTACAAATATTCTGACTTGATGTTTGAAAGCATTCAGTGTTTGAGACATTTTTATGTGTACAGGTAAATTATTCCACAAGATAGCACCAGAGTATTGAAAGGAGTTCTCAAAGAGTTTACAGTTACGAGCTGGTACACACAAGTCTAAATTAGATT